GTTCTTCGCTCCCGCGATGCGTCCCTGGCCATCTCCTCCAGCCAATGCCGGCTTCTGTGTTCCGGTCCCTGCGAGCGTCGGGACGTACGGGGGCCGGAATCGGCGACAAAAACCTATAAAGCTTGGTCCAATTTGCTCCAGTGGGGAAAAATACATTTCTTCATACTAGGCCCACTTTGCTTGGCAAAAGTAGTAGCCCCAAAACACATTTTTTTGTAATGTAAATAAAAGGCTGGCATTGTTGATGTGCCTTTTTCTCCTCATCCACTAATCCTGCCAGAATCCTTGAGACCTGCTACTACTTGAGTGGGCAGTATTGTTTGAGCACTCCATTTTAGACTTGTTGCAGTAGCAAACAGAAGCAGCATTGGAAAATGACAACATTGCACAGCTTTCCTTATGTTTTCTATCTCTCTTTGATGTCTCGCTTTAATATCTTTACGTTCATATATTTACCCATCCCCCCATATCTCAGCAGGCTTAATTGGAGAAGATGTAATTGTCTGAGTGCTCAATTTCTGCCTTCCTTCAGGAGGAGCTCTCATTTTGTTCTCAGAAAAACTGGCAGTAAAAAATGGTTAATAGAGAGCAAAGCAAAAGAGGTTGAGGCTTGTCTTAACACCTGAGGCTACCTCCTTTAACAAGTTAGAACTTGAAAAAAAGAGTTGCAGAATTGAATGAGCAACGATGTGCTGAAGGAGGCAGGGGCACTTCAGTGTACACCCAGAGCAGCCACCAACAAGAGCTTTTAATAAAACAAAGAATAAAAACTGTTACCACCCCCACATATGGTGTCTGACCACTAGTTTGACAAAGCTGTTTCCATTGCAATTCCTCCCACGTAATCTGGCCTGCCCCCTGCCCTTTATGACACCATCAACCAAACTCAAATACAGGCAGGGATGGCACTGCACAACTGATTGAAAAGAAGAGGGTCATGGGGCCATACACTGTGAAGCAAAGGCTGGGACCTCAGCAGTACTTGCCAAAACCCAACCCAACGCGTCAAACAGTAACCTTTTCACACCAGATTCCCCTTCCCTAGTTGCTTGAGAAGAAATAATGCTGTCACTAAACCACCTCATGCCAACATCTGAATGCTATCTTAGGAAAGCTGCAGGGATTTCAACTGCTCACATACCAGCTGGTGGAAATAGCCCTCTTTTTTCCACTTCATGGTTTTGGCTGCCCACAGTGACTGATCCCCAGCCGCTATTACTTTTTGAACAAGGCCATCCCTGCCCTCAATCCTCTTTTGGTGCAAATCAAGTCTCTGTCACTGTACCACTTTGTCAGCAAGGGGCACCAGTGACCACTGAGATCTAGTCTAGTAAACAGTAACTGGGGCAGTAAATATAATTTATTAAGTGGTGGCTGGGAAGTTTATAACAAGGGGCACATCACTCAACTTTGGGGTGTTGCCTTGTTTTTGGGAGATCCTGGCACTTCTGTCTACTACCTCTTCCTCATTACTGTGAGCCCTTCACAGGGGACACCTCCTCCACAGCATCCACAAGATCACGCATGCGCCTTGCTGGGTACATATTTCAGCCCGATTGCACAGCACATACTCCTGTACCTAGGATTCCAGGAACTGCTACGGAAGGCCAGGAGAGTTTGCAAATATTTTCATTGCCTCTACCTGTCTATGGTTTACCTGGCAGAAATATTACATCAAAAACAGCCATGTAAAACCCCATGTTCTGGAATTCCATCTTGCACATGCTGAAGAGGCTGTATCAGCTGCAGCAATCAATTTTATACAATGTAAACTTGTTCTGAGGAGCTTGCATTTTTTTCAACCCAGTTGCTGATCATCATGTATGCTTGTACCATTTTGGCCCCTTTTGATAAGTCAATAAAAACGGTGAGCCATGAGCAGGTGGAGGTGAGGAACACCCTCCCTAGTGTATCTGCTGCAACGCATGCTGCAGCGCCTCATATATAGAGCACTGGATGCACAACAGCAGGAGAAAGACTTCACGCTGGTATCTCATGGCTCTTCCTCTTTGTCCACTTTTTACGCCACTGGGCCCAGTAGGCACTGGCCTTCAAGCACAGCAGGAGTATTTGTGACTGAGAAGCTTATCCACCTGTCCCCAGACAATATGAACTAGCTCATATTAAAATTAATCAGGCCTAGATCACAGAAGGCTACAAAACTCCCAGTACAGACACCACTAATTTAATTATATTAATTTTATATTTGTTTTACAAAAAAAGTCCAAACAGTTTCTCTTGGTCTTTTGTTCTGGTGTTGCTGCTGCTGTCAACATTGCTACTCCATGTGCACAGACCTGTGCTTTACTAGTCAAAGGACACACAGAAAACAATTGTCTTATATGTTCCCTGTTCACACCAAAATGCTGGTGTGTTGTGCAGAGCAAAGATGTAAAGAATTATGCAGCATGTCCATTTTTCCACATAACTCCACACATGAAATGCTATGCAGGTGCAAAATAAAATCCTCCCACTGGTCACGATGGTGACAAAACGTTGTGCTTGCAGTCCCACCGACCTGCATTCACCACTTTAACTGCATATAAGAGTAACAAATGTAAACAAAGGGGTACGTCAAGGACATCAGCAATGTTATATGGGGCTGAAGAAGTGGCAAATGTGGGTCTTGCCGGGCATTGAAGCTGTGACTTATGGGAAGATATGTACGGCAGGACTGCTTTGTTTTTGGAGCGGATGATTTTTGTTTTTCTTTGAAAATAGGTGTTTATTATTCCAACAATTTTCCAATATTTTTCTAAGTTGTGATGTGGGGGGGGGGGGGGGGGCAGATATCTGGAGACCCCATTATGTTAAAAGTGGCTTCCAGATTCTGATATGCCCCCTTACCACTGCCCCCACAACCACAGGCCAGGACTGTTGGGAAGAGACCCTTTTCCTCATCAACACCAGGACAAAGTTCTTTGCCAGAGGGCTCTTCCCTGACAAGGTACCCTCACCAGGTCTGGTTCAGGAAGCAGGGCAGCATGCTTACTGCCTCCCTTTCCTAGTCTATCAGGCACCACGCTCAAATTAGGATCTGATGTGAATATTAAGTGGGAACCCCACACACGTTTTTTGTTTTAATTTGCTGCAGGGTTCCTCTTTATATTTGTCAGGCCCTAATCCTGGATGAGGGTCCGACATAGATATTAAGGGGGAACCCATACTCTTTTTGTTTTTTGTTTTTTCTAATCAATCCCTGGAGGAGTGCCCACAAGGGTGCTGGACAGTTAAAAAATAGTCAACATCACTGGAGAGGTGGGCTATCTCTCCCCTTAAGGATTCCAAGCCTGATGGGCTGCTTCTGTGAAGTTTTTGAGACCTCAGCGGAAGCAGAGCTGAGGGCCTGGATGGATCTTGGTAGAAGCAGATTGCAGAACCTCACCAAATAGGATCTGGTCTGGAGCAGGAATGTCTCACTTACTAGACTGTTTCCAGGAAGCTGGAAGGTGGCAGCTGTCCTGGTGTCAGGGCTCCCGGGTGTGACCAGAGGTATGTGACTGACGCAGGGAAACGCAGACTTCAGATATGTTATAAACCATATAATTTATTAACACTAACAATACAAACATAAACGCAGTGCAATACTAAAACATAACACAGTGCAAACAAACCAAACCAACCACCCACAGATAACAGTACATACAATGCAAGCGTCGTCAGGCAGGCCGGGTCAATATCAATCGGGCAGGTAGGTACAGGGGGAGCAAGCGGAGAATGGTCGGGGTCACAGGCCAGGTTCAGCAGGTAGCGGGCAGCGTGGTACAGAGGGTCAGGCAGAGGGATGGTCAGGGTCACAAGCCGGGGATCAGAACAGGAGAAGTCAGCAGAGGTCAGAATCAAGCAGGGTCAGCAACAAGACAGGAACAGGAAGAGGAACAGGAACAGGAACGCAGGTTTACAAGATACAGGGCCCAGGAAAAACACACACCAAGGCAGAGTCTGCAGGTCTGGCCATCCCTTAAATACACCAGTATAATTAGTTCCAGGTGTTTGACTGGCTGCAAGGTTGAGTCTCTGATTGCTGGGAGCACCCGCTGGCCAGCCCTGGTACTGCATCTCATAAGGCAGGTGAGTCCCACTATTGCTGGCCAGTCCATTCCTGACAGTACCCCCCCCTCAAGGAGCGGCCTCAGGATGCTCCAAACAGTCCTAGCTGGGCAAAATGTTCCACCGCCCGGGTCTGGTAACTGGCGGGATATCAAAGACTGGCACACCGGGCAGGACTCCGGGCAGCGGCACACCGGGCAGGACTCCGGGCAGCGGCACACCGGGCAGGGGCACATCGGGCAGAGGCACATCGGGCAGAGGCACATCGGGCTGGACTCCGGGCAGAGGCACATCGGGCTGGACTCCGGGCAGAGGCACATCGGACTGGACTCCGGGCAGAGGCACATCGGGCTGGACTCCGGGCAGAGGCACATCGGGCTGGACTCCGGGCAGAGGCACATCGGGCTGGACTCCGGGCAGAGGCACATCGGATTACCAGGCGAAGCAGCAGGCAGCGGGCCACCAGGCGGAGCAGCAGGCAGGGGGCCACCAGGTGGAGCAGCAGGCACCGGGCCACCAGGTGGAGCAGCAGGCAGCGGGCCACCAGGCGGGGCGACAGGCATCGGGCCCCCAGGCGGGGGGCGACAGGCACTGGGCCCCCCGGCGGAGCGACAGGTCTCGGGCCCCCAGGCGGAGCGGCGGGCACCGGACCCCCAGGCGGAGCGACAGGTCTCGGGCCCCCAGGCGGAGCGGCGGGCGCCGGACCCCCAGGCGGAGCGACAGGTCTCAGGCCCCCAGGCGGAGCGACAGGTCTCAGGCCCCCAGGCGGAGCGACAGGTCTCAGGCCCCCAGGCGGAGCGAGCGACAGGTCTCAGGCCCCCAGGCGGAGCGACAGGTCTCAGGCCCCCAGGCGGAGCGACAGGTCTCAGGCCCCCAGGCGGAGCGGCGGGCGCCGGACCCCCCAGACGGAGCGGCGGGCGCCGGACCCCCAGGCGGAGCGACAGGTCTCGGGCCCCCAGGCGGAGCGGCGGGCACCGAGTCACCAGGCACGCCAGTGGGCTCCGAGTCAACTGGCAAGACTGCGGGCACCGAGTCGTCTGGCAAGACTGCGGGCACCGAGTCGTCTGGCAAGACTGCGGGCACCGGGTCGTCTGGCGGAACAGCGGGCACCGAGTCTGGCGGAACAGCGGGCACCGAGTCGTCTGGCAAGACTGCGGGCACCGAGTCGTCTGGCAAGACTGCGGGCATCGGGTCACCAGGCATCAGGTCATTTGGCTCGCCAGCGGGCACCGCATCATCTGGCAAGGCAGTGGGCACACCGAGTCACCAGGCACGACAGCGGGCACCGGCTCAGGTACCGGATCATCTGGATCAACAGCGGGCATCGAGTCAACTGGCCTAATAGGATCATCAGGCTGGATCAGTTCATTATGCTGGGTAGAGGCATCCGGCTGAGTAGATGCTTCCGGCTGAGTAGAGGCTTCCGTCTGAGTAGAGGCTTCCGGCTGAGTAGAGGCTTCGGCTGAGTAGAGGCTTCCGGCTGAGTAGAGGCTTCCGGCTGAAGAGAGGCATCAGGTTGAAGAGGCATCAGGCTGAACCACGGAAGGCAGGTTCTCAGACGGCAGGCTGACCGGTTTGGATACTGGCAGGATGGTACTGGTTGGAAAGAATTTTCGCTTTTTTCTGGTTTTAACTACTGGAGCACTGCAAGTAAATGCAGGTCTGCAAACGAATGGAGCAGCTGGAGACAGAGAAGAGCTGGAGGATGGAACAGAGGAGGGAGCAGTTGCTACAGAGGGCTTTTTTACAGGGTTAAAGGCAGGATAGGTGCAGCGAGTGGGAACAGGGTACTGACATACGGTAGATAGCAGGGCAGGAGGAGCTGTTGGGAATGCAGGAATAGAGCTTTGAGGAAATAGATTAGAAGCAGGACTGGGTTTTTGTAAGCTGACTGAGGTTGGGTGCAACAAATCTGTCCATGTCTGCAGTATGGGTTGAACAAAGCTGAGCTTACACAAAGCCTGTCTGATCAAAGACTGCACTGCGTTTATACAATCTCTTAGTGTCTGTGGTGAACATGCAGCATAATGCTCCAAGAAGCAATCCACATCATCCTCTAATAACCATACCAGGGACTCTACCTGGTCAGCACTAAATGGTGGCAAAAATTCATCCCTGCATTCGGGGGTACCAGATGAAACCAACTCCGCACAAATCTGAATCAATGGCTGCACCTCAGAGAATTCTGTGCCCTGATCTACTAGAACATGAGCGAGCCGTATACATTCTAGTAGTTGATCCCGGGGATACTCCTTCAGAGTTTGATAAGCATACTCTCTGTCATCAAACACTAGCAGATATAAATACACAACCTCATCAAGATCCATCCTTCCCAGCAACAAGCCAAGATGGCTTCCCTGTGCAGCCACTTCTGGTCAGGATTGGCCTTGGTGTAATGTCAGGGCTCCCGGGTGTGACCAGAGGTATGTGACTGACGCAGGGAAACGCAGACTTCAGATATGTTATAAACAATATAATTTATTAACACTAACAATACAAACATAAACGCAGTGCAATACTAAAACATAACACAGTGCAAACAAACCAAACCAGCCACCCACAGATAACAGTACATACAATGCAAGCGTCGTCAGGCAGGCCGGGTCAATATCAATCGGGCAGGTAGGTACAGGGGGAGCAAGCGGAGAATGGTCGGGGTCACAGGCCAGGTTCAGCAGGTAGCGGGCAGCGTGGTACAGAGGGTCAGGCAGAGGGATGGTCAGGGTCACAAGCTGGGGATCAGAACAGGAGAAGTCAGCAGAGGTCAGAATCAAGCAGGGTCAGCAACAAGACAGGAACAGGAACGCAGGTTTACAAGATACAGGGCCCAGGAAAAACACACACCAAGGCAGAGTCTGCAGGTCTGGCCATCCCTTAAATACACCAGTATAATTAGTTCCAGGTGTTTGACTGGCTGCAAGGTTGAGTCTCTGATTGCTGGGAGCACCCGCTGGCCAGCCCTGGTACTGCATCTCATAAGGCAGGTGAGTCCCACTATTGCTGGCCAGTCCATTCCTGACACCTGGGGACACTGCACAGTGTTCTGGAAATTGCATTGGCTACCAGTAGTTGTGCATAGGTGTAAGATAAACAAATGCCAAAGACACTTGCCTTATGGTCTTTAGCTGTGGGACTTTAGACTGTCCATATTCACAAGTACCTAAGGAAAAAGATGTTCTCTAATTGCTATTTGTTAATCATTTTGGAGTATCCCATGCCCTAACCTCTCTACTGTCAAAGTTTTTTCAAGCAATAAATCTTAAAAATAAATTTCCTAGATTGTATTATTGGAGCTGACATGAATGGACTGGTGCTTGCATGGTGGGCAGCCTCTGTACTTTAAGGGAATAGCCAGTTAATACCAGTGGCCCCTACAGGGGTAGTGCTACAGCATGAAACATGAAACTGCTAAATTTCTTTTAATTTGCAAAAATAAGTGCCATACGATGTCAGCAGCACCAATATTAAAGACAAAATATATATTGACCAAATATAAAGTAAAGTAACTGTATTAACCAATCAGAGAGAAAAAAATACAGAGTTACAAAATTCGACGGTGATCAGCAGCCGACAGCCAGCTTGCAGTAAGGGACTGAGTCTGAGAGGAACACTGGAAGGAGTGGCAGCTCAGCTGCTACACTGGCCACAGACACTCTGCATCTTCCTCTGTCCTTTCTTCCTCCCCCTCTGTCGCCCCTCCCCTCAGCTGAAGGATCATTTATGATGTGGTGGCATCCCACATGATCAATCAGCATCCGCTCCCCTCACCCCGACCATTCTCTGCCCCCCTCCTTCTCCCATCACCACCATGACCCACCATCCTCCTAGGCTCGGCTCATCTCTGACTGCTCCTACCGGCGTGCAGAGTCCAGGCTGCAGCTCTTAATGAGGACGGGTGGCCTCCCAGCACTACACCGCTTCCCTCTCATACACATCAGGCCCAAATCATCCTGCTCACATAATTGGCTCAAGGCAGAGCCAGTTCTGGGTGCGCACCATTCCGTCACTAGCTGGCTCCCTGTTACAGCTGGAGGATCGTGTGTGCCAGTGTGTGTATCAGAGTTGTACGGAACGATCCTCTGATCAGAGACTGCTGACTGCCTAAAGTTCTGGGCTAATGTCATCACTTCACCTGCTATATATACTGTATGTACTAAATGGTCATGTGTGTCGACAGGCTGTGAGATGATTGTGCAGTGTAAAGACATCATAATTTCTTCCTCATTCCCTGTGTATGAGAAGAGGGGGACTTTGCAGAGAAATGAAAAATTTATACAAGAGGTCCATAGGCCACACAGAGAATGCTTGCCTGTGCTGCGCCCAGGTTCCCCTAGGTGGCAGTGGGTCCAAGCAGCTGCCTAGTGGAAGCACCAGCCCTGTTGGTCCTAAATTGTACTTGATGATGTGATTGTGTGACTGCAGCCCAGAGTGTCTTATAACAGAGGCTTTAGTGGACCAGATGGAGGGAGCCTACCAGAGCAAGGGGTAAGGGGAGTAATACACTTTCCTCATCCCCTAAACTTAATAAGCATTCATCTATTTAACCCTTGCAGTGCTGCAAGAGTAATTTTTTTTATAATTCCCGGGCTTGTGTTCTAAACATGTCCCAAGCACAACTTCCACTGTTCCTGGACTTTAGAACATAGTTCCTGTTTTAAAATGTTACTAAACCGAGGGCGCATGCGCGGCTGGCCCTGCATGGACGTGCAGTGAGACCCGCTCCATCCATCCGCCAGATCCAAAGTGGCTCACACTGGCCCCGAGGGAAACAAACACAGCAGAGTGCAAGGGCAGAGGTGCGCAACCCTCCCCAGCTATGCCCCACCGCAGAAAAACCCTGGGACAGCTGGGGAAGCTGACACATTTCTTCCCTGCCATTCAGGCAGGGACACAAGATGGCGCCGGCTCTGTGAACGGAGCAGGCAGATCTGAGGAGGATGACAGGAGCCAGCAGACAGATCCCAGGCTGCAGTACCCCGCTCTATCCAGGGGACTCTGGTGAGTCATCTCCCCCCCTCTCCCCCCCACAACAAGCAGCCCAGCGAAATCACGTCCACGCTGGGACACAGACGCTACACCTGTTACCAGACCCTCATCCATCCATCCCCTCAGAATACTGCTGATTTTCCATTAATAGAGACGATCTCTGTGTCTGACCAACCTATTTCCGAAATATGCATGAAAAACATGCTTCTATCACTCAGGCAGACGCTGCACAGCAACATCACTTGCCCAAATTACTACTATAATTCAAAAACAGGACCTCAGACTTGTTGTCTTATTATAATGATACTTCATATCAAGCATGGAGATCCAGCCCTTCTCTAGATGACCAGGGTGTATTTATATATGTACTATTCCCACAGCAACCAATAGTCCTTTTCCAGAGAGATGCATTTATTTGGATAAAGATATTTGTTACAGATGACAGAAATTCAGTTGAATATTTGTAAAGATTACAACGAACAACAGCTCTCAAAGTCCCATTTAAGATACTTCATATCAAGCATAGAGATACTACAGCATCCAGCATATGTCCAATCTATAATATGCAACTAGGTAGCTTCCATGCAACCTGTGTTCTGTCCCACTTATCCTGACCTGTGCTCTATCCCATGTATTCTCCCTTGTGCTCTGCCCAGGTATCCTCACTTGTGCTCTGCTATCTTTGTATTCCCCCTTATGCTCTGCCCAGGTATCCTCACTTGTGCTCTGCTATATTTGTATTCTCATCCTGTGTTCTGTGTCCTGTGTTAATATACACATTTTCCCCATTCAGTACAATGGCAAGCACTCTGGCCACTTTTATTAGCTTGTTTGATCTTATGTGTCTAATAGCTGTGTGCATAGCATGAATATTTAAGACTTTTCCCAATCTATTTGCAACTAACCTGCTCTTAAACTGTGGGTGATAAGCTGATGAAAATGACAGCTTAATTACCAGGCCTTGTTCCTAGTAGACTTGTTCCTTTGGCAAATGGCACAGGTTCTAACATATACCTCATAATCCTTGACCATATTTGGCCAGCAGAATGTACGTTGTAATAGCTCTAGGGTCTTACGTACTCCGAAATTCCCTGCTAACGGGTGAACTTGGCAATAGCCCAGTACCAAAGTACGGGCCTCCTCGGGTACCACGATCTGATCTTCCTTCCAAAAAAGCCCCTCCCTATTCAGTAAGGGAACACCGGGTGGGACTTGGCATTCCTACGGATGCGGTTTGCAGTTTGGAACGGAGCTCGGTTTGGAGGACTAGGAAATTCCCTGAGGACAGGATAGTATCGGTTTGGGGATCTCTTCAGGGTCCTCAAACATGCGGGAGAGCGCATCGGGCTTTGTATTTTTTGACCCTGGCCTTTAGGTGATGTGGAATGTAAATTTCGAAAAGAAAAGTGCCCACCTGGCCTGACGTGGTTTTAAGCGCTTCGCCGTTCTCAAATATTCTAAGTTCTTGTGGTCCGTGAAGATTAATATTGGGTGTATAGCCCCCTCTAGCAGGTACCTCCACTCCTCTAGCACCACCTTGATTGCCAGGAGCTCCCGATCCCCGATATCATAGTTCCTTTCCACAGTGGTAAGTTTCCTAGAAAACAAGGCCACTGGGTGCATGAGCTCCTTAATGTCCTTCCTTTGAGACAGGACTGCCCCTACTGCGTTCTCGGATGTGTCTACCTCCAGGATGTAAGGTAAGGGAGGATCCGGGTGGCTGAGGATAGGAGCTGCGGTGAACAATTTCTTTAATGCTTCAGATGCTACCTGCGCTTCAGGTGTCCACTGGAAGCGGACCCCCTGCCTAGTCAGCTGGGTG